CTGGTGAACTTGGCACTGAGCCAGGGAAGCAATGTTGTGGATCCTGAGCCGCTGTCCCAAATGGTAAGGCTACCCTGCACCCTTAAGGGGAGTTGTCCCAGCCCTGGACCCTCTTCTGGTCTTTTCTTTACTTGATAGATTTGCACATTGTCATGATTACCCAGCATGGCATTCTTACCCCTTCTCCACCCTGTTGGGGTTCCTCAGGTGAGAGAACAATGCTCCCCAAAGCACCACCTTCAGATCTGGAAATGCAGCTTCGGGCAGCAGCCATCACCATTTGTTCCCATGGAAAGAGGTTTGGTGGGTGTTTTTTATGCAATGTATAGACAAGGAGAGACGCTATTTAACAGAATCAGGTGACTGGGAGTTGGGGATTGAACTGTCTGCCGGCCTCATGAATCAGCTGTGAGCAGCTGCCAGAAGCTCCCAGATCCTGGGCCGCAGCTGAGGTCGAGGGAAGCCAGGCAACTTTCTTGCCTTTCAGCCAGATGAGCTTGCACTGGACTGTGGCCGACTCAGGACTGAACCCCATGGCCCCCTGCAAGCCCTGTGGGCACCTTGAACCTGCACAGGTTGCAGGAGGGCAAGCACAAGCAGCAGCTACTGTGATCAGTAGAGTGGGGGGCAGAGGGGGGCCTGAGCTGGTGACATGGGGGAAAATGAGGCACCAGCAATAGCAGAGGGTGGAGGTCACCGCCAGGGGGGCTTGTGGGTGACCCTCGAAGAAGACTAAAAGGGGTGCAGAGGTCACATGAACAGCAATCAGCATGTAGGGAACTGGACAGGAAATGGAGCAGCCTGTGAGGGCAGAAGGTGTGGCTTGTGTCTCCCAAGGGGAAGGCACCTTAGGGAGCTGGAGTCGCAGCCCTGGGTGGTCTCCTAGGCAAGGCTGAGCCACAGCACGGTGGCGGCTGCAGGGAACTGTGTCCCACCCAGCTCTGGGCTCTTGGTCAGTTATGCGGCACCCACATCTCACAGGCAATAACAAATGAGCTTCAAAAACAAGACCTCCCTTCCAGGATGGGCTTAGCTTCTCATTATTCTGAACCTTCTAGAAGCACATGAAAGAATTATAAGTAGTTTGAGTGGTGTGGCTGTGGTCTTTCTCCAAGAAATACTTCCAAAGACCAGCTCCTCACATCCACTTGTGCAGTGCCCTAGACCTGAAGGACGGCTCTGACTCCAAGGCTGAGGGTGCTGGCCTCTCTGGGAGCCCCTTGGCGACCCCTGTGGGCCAGGGCAGGTGACAGAAGGTGCCTAAGGCCCCTCTCAAAGGGGGCTGGAAAGGGGAACATGCATACTCTTACCCAGAAACCAGCAGTGTTCCTTCAGTCTTTTTAGGGTGGGAGGCAAAGTAATTACAATTTATAAAACTCTACCCCCTGGCAATCTCTCTTCTACAGAGGCCTTAGGGACAGGTGAAAGAAAACCAGAGGTGGGGTTGGAGGCGTGACTCAGTTGGTAGAGCACTTGCCAATGAGTAAAAACATCAAGTGCAGAGTTCAAGTCCCAGTCTTAGACCCAAAAAAGAAAAGAAAGAGAGGGGGAGGGAGGGAAGGAGAGGAAGGAAGGAAGGGAGGGAGGAAGGAAGGAAGGGAGGAAGGAAGGGAGGAAGGAAGGGAGGAAGGAAGGGAGGAAGGAAGGAAGGAAGGAAGGAAGGAAGGAAGGAAGGAAGGAAGGAAGGGAGGGAGGGAGGGAGGGAGGGAGGGAGGAAGGAAGGAAGGAAGGAAGGAAGGAAGGAAGGAAGGAAGGAAGGAAGGAAGAAAAGAATGAAAGAACGAGAGGGGGGAGAGGGAGGAAGGGAAGGAAGGAGTAAGGGAGGGAAAGGAAAGGTAGATTCTGTAGCCCTGCCACTGTCCTGCCCTGCCCTGGCACAAGATGGTGCTGGAGAGACAAATATGGTGGTGGAGGAGTAGAAAATGCTCAGGCTCTAGGCAAGTCGGGAACCCCTAGGAAGAAGGGTAAATTGTCCTTTATTGTGTGTGTGCTGATGCTGGGGTTTGAACTCAAGGTCTTCAGTTCTTGCTTAGCTTTTTTTTTTTCTTCTCAAGGCTGGCATTCTGCTCTACCACTTGAGCCGCACCTCCACTTCTGACTTTTTACTGATTAGTTGGAAATAGGGTTCTCAGACTTGTCTGCCTGAGCTCCTTTCAAACCTTGATCCTCAGCTCTCAGCGCTAGGATTACAGATGTGAGCCACCGGTGCCTGGCTGGAAATTGTCCTTTTTAATAATCAAGGGAAAGTAGGCTTCTCAAGCCAGCGGAGGGGGGGAGGGGGGGAGGGGGGAGGAGCAGCCTGGAGCCAGGCATCTTGTGTCCTCCTGAATGCCCTTGAGATCCCAGAGCCACCGTGCTGGAGCCAGGCGCACCTTCACTGGTGGCCCTGCTCTGCCATCTTTCCAGCTAGCATCAAATCGTTCCCCAAGCTGCACAGAGGTGTAGCCTCGGGCTAAGGGGCACCCCTGGCATCTTTAGCTCTAGAGAAAGTTGAGCCACGTGATGGACCACGTCTGGTAGTCAGGATGGGACACCTTGGGGGGAGTCACGGCTGTGAGTCCTTGGGAGGGAAGAGCACATGTGCATCCGCCACTGTGGGTGGCGGTGAGCTGGTGGGGGGGCTATCCACGCCCCTCTGTGCCCATCACGACCCTGGGCCCCAGGGCGGGCGGCTTCCTTACCAAAGTCATCCAGCAGGAACCCCTAGACCCAAGGCCCAGACACCAAGCTATGGGTGGCAGAGACATGTCATCTGCATGAGGCCCAACCAGCCTCAAGGACAACGCTCAGGGAGGAGGGCCTAGGCACGTGGGCACACAGGTGACTGCCTGACGCTTAAGTGCAATCATAACCATCCCAGGTCCTTTATTTCCCTGCTATTATGTGCTTAGCAGAAAATTGTTTTCTGTTATCCCAATGAGCTTCTCTGAGCACACACATGGCTGCACGGGGGAGCTCGGGGGAGCCAGCCCCACAGCTCACGCCTTGTGGTTTCCAGAATCACCTCAACCCTGGGAAGGGCCTTCTGAACCGCACTGAACACCCCTTCCCAGGACACAAGGGAAACTGAGGCCTGGTTTCGGCAGCTGTGCTGAGCTCACTTATACTCTACCCCAGAATACCAGGAGCGACTCTGAACACTGGACTTTGCAGAGAAAGCCATGCCGGTGGCGTGAACCACATGTATGGTGTTCTAGCAGAACTCGGGAGCCAATGCTGAGTGCCGTCTGCACATCCTAGCTCAAGAGGACTCAGAAGCCAAGACATGGCCACCTCCAGACACCAGCAAGGTGACCCGCACTCTGTCCACCTCACTGGGTGGCCAAGAGGAGGCTGCTCGAGCCTATCTGGAAAAGCAGTTTGGGACTAGTGGTGACACTCATGACAGGATCTCAGGCCACCTGTTCTGAAGCAGCCTCAGGGTCAAGAAGCTCACTCAAGTCCACAGCCAAGAAAGAGGCCAGCCCAGGAGTGACCTGGCCTCCTGCGTTCCATCCCTTACACAAAGCAGAAGTCATCTCTGCTGGTCACCAGTGTCTTGAAGCCTCCCCCAAATAGGCATGGGCATGGGAGGGATTGCTTTTGGGGGGATCCGGGAAACTCAGAGAGCCCCGGGCAAGGGCAAAAGGGCTGGGCCTGGGGCCTCATGGAAGCAATGAGCCCAGGCCAGAAGCATGGGGTGAGCCATTTCAGATACTCAGCAGAGAGCAGGAAAAGGCTGAGTGTTTCTGACCCAGCTGCCCGAGGAACAGGGGGAATGGTCCAGAAACGCAGAGCCTCATGGTGCCCAGACCACACAGGCCCACCTCGATGGAGTATGCGCCAAAGCAGCCCAACAGGTAGCTCCTAGCAAGCACCGGGCCCAGGCCTGAGCAGGGCATCCTCTGCAGCCTTTCCCATCCCTCAGAGCCCTGTGTGGTGACACACAGACCAGGAGGAAGAGCCCCTGCCCCTCCTCGACAGCCCACCCGTGGAGGGGGGAGGGGGCCTTCTTGGTCTCAAAGGATGTCCCTTTCTCAGGGACACATGTTGGTGCACCCAAAGCTCAGACAACAGAGACGTCGTATCCATCTCCCAGGGCTGGGACACTGATCAGCTGTTCTCTGCACATGACAAGAGCTCAGCTTGCCAGAGACTGGACTCCCAGAACAAGATGGACCTGGGAGGAAAAGCAGGTGCCCACTGGCCCCAGAGAAACTCAAGCTGCCCAACACACACATCTGTTCTCCCACTTACTGATCTTCCAAGTCTGGGCAGTGCCAGGCGGGAGTTGTGTCCAGCCCAAGTAGTCCTTCCTGGTTTTCTTCCACACTCAGCCCCTCTGCTCCTTCTCATCTCCCCAGGAATCCCACTCCGCAGTGCGGAAGCATGGCTCTCCACTGCCCGCAAGGCACCACATCACCCACAAATGTAGGTTGGCAGGCCTGGAAGCTGCCTGTGAGTATTTAGAATGGAGCCTTGGGCAGGGGTATGGCAGACAGAGGCTGGCAAGGAGGAGGGACATGGAGAGGACAACACAGCCCAGGAGGTAGGACCATCAACCAAGCCAGGAAAACCAGAGGGGACACAAAGGCCCACTCCAGAGCCCAGCGGTGCTTTGGGCTGGAGTCCTCCACCAAAGAGGCCCCTCCAGCCCCATCTCCCTGGGGCCCCTGAGGAGGCCAAGGGGACGGCAGAGCAGCTTTATTGACCAGATTTGTCAGTAAGAACACAGCAAAGGTGGGGCCTGAACAATCCAGTCCAGCAGGGGGCCTGGGGGAGTGACCTCAGGTCCCCCACTCCCCCTCCCCAACCCCCAAACATACACACAAGTCCCTGGAACCCAGCCTCACCCATTCCAGACTCCCTGAAGCGAGGGACCACAGGGGACAGGAGAGTGCCAGAGAACCTGGGAAGGCGGGTGGGTGGGCCTGGCGTGGGGCGGCACCGAACACATGCCTGCTCCAGCAGCCAGCAGAAGGCCATCCATGCGGGGCGGTGGGGGGCGTGCAGGGGCGGGGTCACCACACAGAGCATTTGTGGACGGGGTTCATGGGTGAGTCCTTGGGACAGTGGAAGGCCCGGCCGAACTCCTCAAACTGAGACACGCTGCCCAGGACCCTGGGGGTGGGGAGGGGAGACCCCAATAGGATGAGGACTGACCTGGTCCTCCCTGCCCACCCCACCCCTCACCCTAGATCCAAGGAGCAAACAGAGCCCAGGCCAGCAGGCAGGCATACCTGTAGTGCTCAGGAGCATGCTTGTCAGTCAGCACCTGAAGGTAGATGGACTGCGACCGCCGCTTGATACACCAGTTCTGGGTCCCAGAGTGGGTAGATGGGGGGTGGAGGAGGGGCAGGTGTGACCTGCCCCTTCTCCACCACTCACAACCAGACTTAAGACTCCAACAGCGCCCCCAGGGCCACCAGCTCTGAGCACAAGGGTGATGGGAGACGGGCTGGACCCCAGGGACAGCCATGTGAGGCCTGAGTAAGGCAGAGCTAGGGCTGACAGGCTACTGGCTACTGTGTCCCCACCCCCAGCTCCCACCTGGCCCCGACTCGGCCCACCTGGGCAAAGGCGATGAAGAAGAGCTGATTATGTGTGTACTTCAGCCGGTGCAGCGGGTGCTCCGGCCCGTGCTCCCGCACCCACTTCTGATAGGCCTGGAGTACAGAGCAGCGGGGAGCTGCTGTGTCTACCCATCCTGAGCACTGCCCCTCTTCCCACCTCAGCCAAGATCCCAGGGCCACGGCCCCCGCTCCATCCATCACCAGCTCAGCTCTGTACATCACTCCTCGCTGTGCTTCCGGTCCAGCCACTCACCCTGCACGGTTCCAAGCAGGCTGACCCAGACCAACACCACCCTCCCCACTCAGTGATGGTGGGGCCCATGGCTCCATCCTTGCCCAGTGGACCCTGTGCACCCAGGCATCAGCTCTGTCCCTGCCCAAGCCAGGATAGGCAGGGAGGGGGACCATGCCTCTTGTCCTCCTCAGCTCCCACCCAGCCCTCAGTAGGGACAGAGAGCAGGCAAGATCACTCACATAGTAGGCCAGCTTGAGGCCACCCATGTCCGCAATGTTCTCACCAAGTGTGTGTTTTCCATTCACCTGTCACAAGGGGACCGCAGGGGTTGAACAGGGGCCATTGGCTGCCCACTGCTGCCCTGGCTACTCCTGGGCCCCTGTCCCAATCCCCAGCCATCCCCTCCTGATCATTCTCAGAGCCTTGGAGAAAAGCCTTTGGGGACCTTGCTGTGGCACACGGGCCAGGGTGGCATCTCACCCGCTGGTTGTAGACAGTGAAGTTGTCATAGAGACGGACGATGCACTCGGCCTTGCGCAGGAAGCGGCTGTACGAGGCCTCAGTCCACCAGTGCAGCAGGTTCCCAGAGCGGTCATACTGGCCCCCTGTGGACAATGGGCCAGCAGGCTACTGAGATTCAGCCTCACCTCAGAGCCAGCTTGGGCACAGGGGCCCTCCCTATACACCCAATCGGCTTGCCACCCACCAGCCTCCCATTGCCTGTCCTCCCCATCTCTGGCCGCTCCCTCCGGCCCCAACAGGCCTCACCCCAGTCATCGTAGCCATGGGTCAGCTCGTGCCCGATGATGGTGCCAATGCCCCCGAAGTTCAGAGACCTGAGTCCACAGCAGCAGCATCAGGCCCAGTCCTTGGCTGTGCTCTGAGAGCCCCATGCTGCTGCCCAGGGCCCCGGCCAGGCCACAAGGTGACCAGGGAGGCCACAGACACATCTGAGAGGTCCTGAGCACAAGTCTCATCCTCATCTTCCTCATGGGCTATGTGCAAGGCCGATGGTACCTGTCCAGACACCTTTTGGGAAACAACATCTAAGAAGGGCAGTGAGGGGTGTGGACATGATCGCAAGGAGACAGGAAGGAAACTGAGGCACTCACATGTGACACACCTAAGTAAGCCTAAAACAGGTTAGGGATGCCCATGAATCTTAATCGAAACAATAAAAAACAATGGTGTGTATGTGTGTGCACGTGCACGCACGCATGCATGCCAATACTAGAGCTTAAACTCATGATCTGGTGCTCCTGCTTGGCCTTTTTGCTCAAGGCAACACTATACCACTTGAACCACACCTCAACTCTGGCTTTTTGCAGGTTGCTTAGAAATAAGAGTCTCTCAGATTTGTCTGCTTAGGCTGGCTTCAAACCTTGACCCTCAGATCTCAGCCTCCTGACTAGCTAGGACTAGAGATGTAGGCCACCAATGCCCAGCAGAACCTACAAATTCTTTTTTAAAAAGCCAAGTGAGTTTGGGAACCTAGTGTCTGCAGCGTGTAAGACCCAGCCCAGTTATGAAGCAGTGCAGCTCCTCCACTTTGACCTCCAGGCCCCACCCTTCAGCCACATGTACTCACTGTGGGAAGTCAGGATCATACAGTGTGGGCTGCAGGATGCCAGCTGGGAACACTAAGAGGGGCGTTGTCAGTGAGAGACATGCCTACTTTAAGGACCGCCCCCATCAGGACACACCTCCTTACCCATCTGGTTCTTATTGGGTAGATAGTAGGCATTGAGCGCCTGTGGGGGAAGCAGCCACCTGCGGGAGAGAAGCTGGAGTCAGCTCTGGAATGCCCCTCACACCCTAGCCTTCTTTTTGTTGTTGTTGGTCATGGGCTTGAACTCTGGGCCTGGGTGCTGTCCCTCAGCTCTTCAGCTCAAGGCTAGCACTCTACCACTTGAGCCACAGTGCCACTTCCAGTTTTCTGGCAGTTTATTTGAGCCACGACCCTCAGATCTTAGCCTCCTGAATAGCTGGGATTACAGGCCAGAGCCACAGATGCGGGGCCCACCCTAGTCTTCTTAAACGTGCTCCCCATGGTCCAGCTACAGTAAGATTCTGATAATGAGTATCCTCTGGGCCTTTCCAGGCTGGGCAGCACCCTGCTGGGGCCATCCCGTACCCTGCACAGCTGCATGCATGCACCCCACACGTCAGCTCTGAGGTAGTTTGTTCCACAAGCTGTCTCCCATGACCATCTCCAACCCCCAGCTCTCGGCTAAGCACCCACGTGGACTTGTCCACCTCCTGTCGAATCTTCTTGACGGAGAGCTGGATGCTGAAGCGGATGCTGTTCAGGATGTTCTTGAAGTAGGTCTTCTCATGGACCTCAAACTGTATGCGGGATGGGCAGCACTCAGCAGTAGGTCGAGAAAGAACAGGCCGACAGCTGAGTCTCCACGAGTTCGTGTGTGTCCTGGAAAAGCTTGCCCATAGGACAGGGGAGAGCCAGGGGGAGGGGCCTACCTCATACTCCTTGTCCACAGCCTCCGGCTTAAGCAGGAAGTCTGGGTAGCCTACCATGACCATCATGTACTGGAGCTGCGGGAGACATGGCAGGAGAATGGTTCAGGTCAAAAGCTTGAGACCAGCCTGGTATGCCAGTCAAGACGGGGCAGAGTGGACCAGACGGTGGCAATTCCACCAAGGCCTCTCTGCTTCTTTTGTTTTCTCATTATCCCCCAATGCCTGGCACCCTGTAGGCACTCAGAAAAATGGTCGGGGAACCAGTATCAGACTCAGATCACCTCTCACCTTGGCCCGAGCAGCTGCCTTGGTCTGGGCATCCATCCAATCTAGTTCCTCCAGGCGCTGACCCAAGATGTACTTGATGTCTTCCACCAGCTGTTGCACCTGCCAGGTCAAAGGCCAGGGGTCAAAGGTCAATCAAGGAGGCTTTTGGTCTGGTCTCAGTTGCTGGTTACCTAATGTATTCCCAACATCCAGTACCAGGTCCTCAGCTCAGGGTGCCATGGAAGCACTGAGCACAGCCTCAAGAGGTAGGGATCCCTGCAAGCTACCCTGAAAGAGGTGGCGGTCCCTGCAAGCTACCCTGACAATGAGCCGTCCTCTGGAAGGGAGAGAATGCTCCAAAACACACTGTCCGATCCTAAGGCTATGCCCTTGAGCATGGCTGAGATAGGCGTTCGGGGTCATAGCAGAAAGGGGCCACAGGGAGAAGACAGCTCCTGAGCCTGGGTCTGGGGGAGGAAGACTGATGAAGACTACCCTGAACCCTCCCCCGAGCCTGAGGTGGGAGGTAGAAGGAAACGTGTGAGGACTCCCGCGCTCCATACCGAGTTCCGTACCCACCACCCCACCCTGCATGCAGGGCGGCCTGACCTTGGCTTTGCTGGCAGCCGAGAAGTGCTCATGTACAAAAAGGGCACCAAGAGCCATGCCAAAGTGGCGATTGGCCTGGCCCAGGCAGACACGAGCCAGCTCCTGGGGCTTGTCGCTGCCCTCCATCTCCCTCGCCAGCTCATGCAGCGCCTCCCGGAACGGGGTGGACAGGTGCTCGCTCAGTGCCACCACCACACGCCACAGCAGGTAGTTGTGCAGGATCCTGGGGCCAGGGAAGGGAGGGCTGTCCACAGACGTGCAGATGGGGGGGGAGGTCATCCCATCCTGGTCCCCCTGGAACCCCACACTGGGGGCCACCCAGTACCCGCCTGGGAAGGACTTGGACGGGTGAGACGGGAATCTAGGCACACAGAAGCTCAGCCTGGATGGGTGTTAAGACTCAGTCACACCGCAGGACACACTCCTGGTCCCGAGGGCGGCAGGGCCTGATGGCACAGGCCACGCCATTTCCTGCCTTTCCATGGGACAGGACACTGGGTAGAGCCTGCCTCAGGGCTGGCCTTCACCAACCAACCTCCTCCATACCCGGTCCTGGTGCAGAACCACCATGCTACACTTTCCCTAGGAATCAACTTGACTCAGTTTCCCCAGATCCAGGGAGAGAAATGGCACATAGAAGGCTGCCCAGGCTCCCTTGGGGCAGGAAGGAGCAATGGTCTCTGGAACTGGGAGACCTGGACTCCCCTGACAGTGCTCCTGTCTGAACTTGGGACCTGGACTCCTATTACAGTGCTCCCACCTGGCTCCCCTGATGTGGCTGTGCACAGAGGCGGCCACCCTACAGTTGCCAAGTGAACAGGCCCAGGGTGCCCAGCAGGGGTCTGAGGCAGCAGCCTCACCTGCGGGGCGTGGAGTGGATCAGCTGGGACACCTGCTGCATGTAGTCTGTGGCCAGCAGCACCACCTCCTCCTCCTCTGAGAAGTCCTCCTGGAAGATCTGGTCCAGCAGCCATTTCCAGCGCAGCTGTGGGACCCAGGACAGCAGCCACAGAGGACAGAGAGAGGATGAGGAAGACGAACGGAGGACACGGACCCCAGCTACCTGGAGGGCCTTGTCCGTCCCTCTACAGCCAGGATGCGCCGTCACAAGGCACCAGGGCTTCGGCACTCACATGGGGGGTGATCTTCTGCAGCTGGGCCAGCGTCACCTTGTTGTACATGGAGCTGACATCGCGACGCAGGTCATCATACTCTGACACGGTGATCTGGGGGGAGACCCGAGCTGAGCCTGCCTGCCCCTGCCCCTGCCCATGTCCAGCAGCCCCTGCCCCCCTGCTCACGTTGGCCAGCCTCTGCTCCAGCTGCAGGATCTCCTGGGCCTTCTGCTCCACAGCCTCGGCTCCCAGAAGTCTCAGCAGACGCTCCATGAACACCCTGTAGGCCGCCAGGATCTGCGGCAGCACAGGCATTCCTGAGGGGTGGACAGGCCTGGCCGCAGGTCCCCCCTGCTGCGCCCCCCCTTCCCCGCAGCCCTCCCCACGGCCAGGCACCTTCTCGCTCTCCTCATCCTGAGCTAGGTACAGGGTCCTCTCGGGCAGGGTGAGCCCATCCTGGTCAATCTGGGAGGCAGACAGGGCACCCCACATCAGAGGTCAACTGCCAGCCACCCACATGTCCCAAAAGACCCGCGGGACACCCGTCCTTACAAGCCCTAGGGGCGCCCACACCAGCTCCTGCCTCCCCTGCCCCCAAACCCCATCCTGCTGGGCTGAGCCTGCACCCCTGACCCACCCTCCTTCACTTGGGCTACTGTGGGAGCAGCCATGGGCCCGGGCCTGGCCCGGGAGGTGCAGGCTTCCCCCCCCCCCCCCCCGCCCGCCGGCCCGGCTGCGGAGAGGCTGGGAATCCACCGCGGCTCCCGCGGCTCCGCGGCCACTCGCAGCAGCAAGTGCCTGGTGCCCACCTCCCGCGCTCCGCCGGCTGCGCCCCACCGCGGGCCCGGGCCCCGGGGACGCGAGCACGCGCGGGCCCAGGCGAGCGGCCCGCAGCGCCGCGGAACCCGCGGGGCCCCCGAGGCCCCCGGGCCGCACTCACGCGGATGACGTAGCGCGAGGAGTTCCTGTCGTCCAGGCTGACGGTGAGCGAGAAGAGCGCGGCCGCGCTGTACACGCCCTGCGCCTTGTAGAGCAGCCGGTTGAGGTCCCAGCGCGCCGCCGCCGCCGCCCCGGGCCGCTCGGACCCCGGCCGCTCGCCCGCCGCCGCCGCCGCCGCCGGGCCCGCGCCGCCCAGGTCCCAGCCCCCGCAGTCGGCGATGACCTCGAGCATGGGCCGCGGCCCGAGCCGCTCGATCTCGCGCATGTCGAGGCACGAGCGGAAGAAGGCGCGCACCTTGCGCTGCGCCGCGCCGCCGGGGCCCCCGGCCGGCCGCGCCAGCAGGCGCCGCAGCCGCTCCTCGTTCTGCTCGCCGATGGCCGCGATGGTGCCGTACGTCAGCTTGTCGTCGGGGATGGCGTGGCGCCGCAGCCAGCCGCCGCACGCGAACGAGTAGAAGTCCTGGCACGGGTCGATGCTGGCGTCCAGGTTGGCGGCCAGGAAGCGCGCGGCGCGCGCGAAGGCCTTGCGCTCGGGGCAGCCCTCGGGACACGCGCCGCCGCCCGCCGCGCCCGCGCCCGCGCCCGCCGCGCCTGGGCCCAGGTACTTGAGCGCCAGCATGGCGGCCAGGATGGCGCACAGGCCGGCGGCGAACACCAGCCCCGACAGCAGGCACACCTCGCGCCGGTTCCAGCGCGGCAGCGAGGCCCGGGCCCCGCCGGCGCCGCGGCCCGCGGCCCGCGGGAAGCCGGGCGGCAGCGAGGCCCCGCGCGCGCCGCCCCTGCCCGCGCCGCACCGGCTGGCGTACTTCACCTCCTGGAACTCGTCGTAGTGCGCGGTCATGGAGTACGGGGCCTCCATGGCGCCCCGGCCGGCTCCCAGCGCCCCGGTGGCCGGTCGAGGCTGGCTATGCCGCGATGCCGCGGGCTGCTGGCTTCCTGGCCGCCGTCCGCATGGCCCCTGGTGTGCGGCTGTGGGAGGCAGAGGCCGACTCAGAGAGGCCAGGAGCCGGGCGCCCGCGGGCCGCGGCCGAGGGCTAGAGGCTGGAGGCCCTCGGGAGCCCCAGCGTGCAGGGGCCTGGCCTGTCTTTGCCGCCTGGAAGGAGGGAAGGAGGGGGCTCCGAGTGGACCCTTGGCGTGGGGCACAGCCCGGCTTTGTTTTAACATGACTCCTCTCTAAGTGCCCTGCTTGCCTGACGGGTCACGGACAGAAGGCTCGCGGCCTGGCACATAGTAGGACTTCTCCTTAGCCGCCTCAGTCCCTGCCTTTGTATTTGACCGTCTCTGATCGGTCACGGGTAGGCTGGGGAAGGCGGGGGAGAAGAGGCTGGAGGAGGGAGGTGTGGTCAGGGGCACGCCTCTGAGGACCCCAAGCTGCCTCAGGCTCTCAGCACCACATCTAACCTCAAGAAAGGACCGGATAACTAAACTTCGTCCTTACGGTGCCCCCCCCCCCCCCACCTCGGGGCCTCCCAGCCCGGCCCAAACGTTCTCTAACCTGGACAACCTCCAGCTTTGGAGGTTGGAGAGGCATCGCGCCCCCCTCGACGGCTGCCGTGGAGAGCGGGTGCCCGGCTGTGTCCCCGGCCTCCCGTCCCCGCCCCGGGCCACTCCTGGCTCCAACAGGTTCTCCCCAGATCCCAAACTTGAGCGAAGTTCCCCCGCCCCCCCCCCCGGCCCCTCGCGAGCCCGCGGCTCAGAGCCTCCCGCGCGGCGCGGCGCGGCGCTGCGCAGCCAGCGGAGCCCGAGAACCCAGTCCCGGAGTCACCGCCGCAGCCGAGAGGACGCAGACAAAGCCGGGAGGCCCGGCGCAGCGGCCACCGCGGGGGTGGCGGAGGCGGCTGCGCTCGCGGCCGCGGCGGCCGCGGACTTACCCGGCAAGGTGCGCGCCTGGGACGGCTGAGGACGGAGGAGTCGGGCCGGAGCTCCGGGCCCAGGCGGAGCGGAGCGGGGCGAGCTGCCGCGCTCTCCGTGCGCCCGCCGCCGCCTCTGCCGCCGCGCCGAGCCCGCCGCGCCGCCCGCCGGCCCCGAGGGAGGGGGCGCGCCGGCGGCTCCACCCTCCTCCGCCCGCCCCCCGCGCCCCCTCCTTCCTGCTCAGCTCCCGGCTACCTGTCAGCTCGGCGGCGGCAGCGCGGAGATGGGGATGGCGGCCGCGGAGACGCGCTCCGGAGCGTCGTGCCACCGGCTTCGGGCTCGGGGGACTGGGAGTCTGGCTCTGTCCCGCGAGGAGTGCGCGGGAGTGCGCCCGGCCGGCTGCGGCTCCTTCTTCTCCACTCGGGACCCCGAGCTGCCTGCCAGCCTGCTGGCTTTAAAGGGGTTGAAGCTGGACATCCGGACGTTCGTGGGCCGTCCCGGACAAGCGCAGCAAACTAGAGCTCAGCCCCAGGCCGTGGGAAGACAGAGACGGAACGCGTGCATCTGCCCGGAGCGCTGCCCGGCGCCAAGAGCCTTCCACGGCAGACTTCCTTGTCCTCCTTTTAACCCCTGCCCACATCGGCTCATGTCTGGTTGCCCAAGAGCCCTTTACCCAGCCCCGGTGGGGAGGCTGCGAGAAGAGGCTGAGGCCGCTGCCTCCCCGAGCTTGGCTGGTCCCTGTCCCAGGTAGGAGGAAAGGCCTGGAGCTCCTCACCACGAGGGAGGAAGCCGCCTGCCTGGTCCTTTGTGCGGGAGTCCCGGGAGCAGGCTGTGTGGGGTGAAGTTCTGCACCCGCTCCCTTCTTCCTTCTGGACTTGGTTTTTAAATGGAAGAAGCCCCCTCCTGCCTTAAGAGTCTTATTGTTGCCCGCCTCCCCACAGGGCCAGGCCACTTTTGACACTGAGAAGTTGGGGCTTCCCGGATGAATTCTGTCTCCCCACGGGGCACCAGCACTTCCTAAGCAATGTCATGTCTGGTGGGGACTCCAGGGACCAGCCTGCCATCTTGCTGTCCTCCCTTGGGGCTGTCTCCAACTGATCCCCCAGACCTCTAGCCCTGGTGGCCACCGCTGTCTGGTTCTGGCCATCCTGCCTCTAGCTCTGGCCATTCCAGGGTCCTCCTCTGCCCTGTGCATTCTCTCAGGTCCAGTGAATTCTACGGAGAGATGGAGTTATGCAAAAACGTGGTGGTTCTGTGAGGGAGAGGGGGAGGGAGGGCAGGGCGGTGGCAGAGTGGCTCTTTGTGCTTTTAATCTGCATTTTCCCCTCCACGTTCGTCTCTGGGAGGATAATTTTCCAGCCTTTTCAGACCCTGATTGGTATCATTTCTCCAGCAATGACAGCTTTTATTTTCCCTGAAATGAATGCCACGAATTTTCCAAGAAATATAAAAATGGATATTGTCTCAGGAAACTGACTCTTCTCCCACAGCAAGACACCAGAGCAAACGTGCTTCCCACCCACCCACCCATCCCTAGGGACTTTGGGCTCCAGCCACAGGAAGATGGGGGACCCAAGCTCTCAGCCCCTCCCCCTGCCTCCCGGGTCAGCACTCAGATCCCCCTTCTGATCAATGCCTTTCATTGATCCATTCATCTGGCCGGGCTGGGCAGCTCTGCCTGACCCCAACCCTGAGCTCAGCAGCCACACCCACTGGGAGTTGGCCTGTGATGAGGCCCGCTGACCACTCAGTCCTGGTCAGCCTGCTCATAAAGAGAAGGCCGGAGGGCCACATCTTTCCCTCTCCTGCCTCTTCTTAGAAAAGGGAAGTACGGAGAGGGTACAAGCGAGTGGGGTTGCTGCAGTCTAACCCCTAATTCCCTCATTTTCAATTTGAGGTTTGCAGAGCTCCTCCCACACATTCCAAGGTGACCTCAAGACTGATGAGCAAGAAAAACACGACAGGACACAGCTAAGCCCAGCCAAGGCCTGAGTCAGTGAGGAGGACATGGGCAGCAGTCCGGGCTGCAGCAGAGAGAGGAGGCCCGGGAGAAGGGGAGTGCAAGGAAGTGGTTTGGGAGTTGTTCTGCTCCTGCCCTGGTGAAGGGCAGATCCCCGCCACCGCTGGAGACTCAGTAGCCTGGCTCCCAACCCTCTTTGGGGGAAAGCGGACACACAAGGACTCAGATCTGATCTCTCGAGCATTCACCCAATGAGGGTGCCATGTGATGTACCCCAAAAGAAGGCCGCAGCGTGAAGCCAGGCCACCCAGCCTGAGGCCTGGCCCTGGGCAGACCCATCTCAGCAGTACTTTAGTCTGCACAGGGTAGACCAGATCCCCAGGCCCCTGCCACGTGCCAGAGCACAGGAGTTGCCTCTGAGATCCACTATGGCCTCCACCCTGGCCAGCTAACAAGCCCCAGCCTCTAGCAGTGCCATGCTGTCTTTGGAGCCTCAGTCAGCTTCCTGCCCGCCTCCCAACCTCCCCCGGCTCATCCATCCATTATTCACAGCACAAAATGGATTTTTAATTTGAGAAATGAAATGACTCTCCCAAGTGGCTGGTGTGGTAGAGATGGGCGGGGGGAAGGTTGCAAGTCACAAGGCAGCTAGGAGAGGCTGGCGGTATGCTTCCTTCCTTTCTACTTGCTCTATGGCTGTGACCAATTGGGGCAAGGGGTACCCATCTGTCCTGCCTGGCTCCAGGGTGGGGTCAGAGGGAGGGGCTGGATGCTGTGCTCTTCTGGCCTTCAGAGCCCTGTGATTGGCTTCTGGCTGGGTCCATCACTTCTCCAGGCTTCCTGGCCCTCCCTGCCTAGCCATGCAGAATCTTAAAGAAAATCCCCACGATTATTCAAAGCACAAGGTGGCATTTAAAAATTATTTGTGTTTTGTTTTTTTTCAAGACAGGGCCTTAACAGGTTGTCCAGGTTAGTCTGTAACCCTGAGTTTGTGAGCCTCTTCCCTCGCTCTCCCAAGTGTCTGGGACTACCGGCATGATGTACCACCACCACGTCTGACCACAAAATAGATTCTGGGGGGAGTGTGGTACTGTGAACTCAGGCCTCCCACTCTTGCTTGGCTTTTTCACCACTTTGAGCTCTTGGCTTAACTGGGTCTGAAGGACTTTTCTGCCCAGGTTAGCTTCCAACAGAGATCCTGAAATCTCAGCTTCCTAAGTAGCTAGGATTACAGTGGGTCTGAAGGACTTTTCTGCCCAGGTTAGCTTCCAACAGAGATCCTGAAATCTCAGCTTCCTAAGTAGCTAGGATTACAGGCATAAGCCAGGATTATAAGCATGAGGCACAGGCACCCTACTTACAAAATTGATTTTGTTTTTATTTTGGTCAGTTGTGGGGCTTGAACTCTGGGCCTGGGCACTGTCCCTGAACTCTTCGGCTCAAGGCAAGTGCTCTACCACTTGTGCTATAGCACCACTTCCAGATTTCTGGCGTTCAGTGGAGATCAGAGTCTTACAGACTTTCCTTGCCCAGGCTGGCTTTGAACCGTGATCCTCAGATCTCAGCCTCCTGAGTAGCTAGGATTACAGGTGTAAGCCACTGCCGCCCGGCTAGAATTGATTTTCTAAATTTTGACAAATGACTTTCCCAGTGGCCGGGATGGCTGAGAAGAAAGCTAGTCTCTCCATCCTGTCCACACTCTCCTCCTGAGCTGCTTTCCCAGGCCCTGATCCCTTTTTGTTCCCCTCTCCATGCTGGACAGCTCCACTGTCCTCCGCCCCTCCTTCAACCCTCATGAATGATCTCATTTACCCCTCTGTGGCCCGCAGGCCAGCGGCCTCCTCTAGGTCCCTCCCAGCCTGTCTCTCCGCTCCTCCCTCCCTTCCCACTCTGTGGCTCTGATCTGTTTTTATTTCCTAGAACAGAGCTGGCTCACTCATACCTCAGGGCCTTAGCACTTGCTATCGGGAACATTTTCTTTTGTCACTTCCTGGCCAATTACCAGTCCTTTATTTTGTTTGTTTGGCTACATGGGGGTGGTCCCTCCC